TGATGCCAGTTATACTAGGAATAGAAAGGATATGATGTTCATGCAACATTATTGAGATTAGCCAGTAAACTTTAAGCACAATATACCATCTTAGTAAACCCTCATTAGACAGTGCCCTTCCTTAAGTAGTATTAACTTCCTAAGTGTATGTTGCTGGCATATTTGAGATATACTTAGTGACTTCTTCTCTAGATTTCAGTGTGCACAACTATTGTATCCCTTTTGGGGATTCCCCCCCAAAAAACATTAGATTAGGACAACTTGAAATATATTTAGCCCATGCCTCAATAAATATAGGCAACAAAGTATGGGATCCTGGTACTATGTCACTAATTCTAGAAGCCCAATAGTTGTTTGTCATACAGATTTCCCACTTCAGTCTATGTTACATAGTACAGTGCCACTGAAATTGAGGGGAGTTTCAAAAGCAGTTTGAGATTCGTATACTGTTGGTGGGTTCTTGTTGTTGTCTTGTTGGACTGTGTGTGTAATAAAGGGGAGTCACACTGGAGTAAAGGTGTCCTGTTTTATTTGTCCCCATGCTAGTTCAGTTTGTTGGTTAGCTTTTCTAGTAAGGCAAAACTCACTGCAGCCAACTGAAAGCAACCAGCAACACCCTGCCCCCCCCCCAACCTCTCTCAATGCCAATGTAAACTAATAAATGAATAGAACCTACCTACATGATGCTGACACAAAAAGAATGAAAGTTTACTAACCCCCTTATCTCCCCACCCCCGCTCTTTCTCCCCACCTCTGTTCTCTCCCAACCTTATAGTATATAGAACATTAAAGTCTCACACTGAATATAACTGATCTGTAGAAAGGACTTTATGATCTGAAAATAGAGACGATGTATATACTTCTGTAACCCAAGAAAACCTTCAATAAAAACAATTTTTTAAAAAAGCAGTTTGAGATATAGCAGAAGGAGTTTTGACGTTTGAAAAGAAAAAGTTCACAACCCCGTGGGTCATGCACAAGCTTCCTGGAATGCCTAAAATGGCTCTTTTGATCCTGCCCCAGATGCTGAGCATGTTTAGCATTGAAGGGGTCATTGGAGGCACAGAGCAGATCATAAGGGTGGACATTCCACACTGCAGATGGGTGAGAAGGCACACCATCTTCATCAGCCACACTGATAGGGATTACAATTGGCTTGGCCTCAGGCATCCCAGCATACATTTGCACCCATCTGCTCCTGCTTCAATAGCTTCTCAATGGTTGGCTTACCACTACAGCAGCAACCAGTGGCTACTGATGTGGATGCTGCCTGTCTTCCTTGGTTTATGGGAATGGGTTAGAACAGGCTTCCTCAACCTCGGCCCTCCAGATGTTTTGAGACTACAATTCCCATCATCCCTGACCACTGGTCCTGCTAGCTAGGGATCATGGGAGTTGTAGGCCAAAAACATCTGGAGGGCCAAGGTTGAGGAAGCCTGGGTTAGAACCTCAGAAATAATGAGCTTGCATACAGCTTCCATCACATTAAGGCTTCAAGGCCGGTGTCACAAGGTAATTGAGTGGAAGAGGTGAATGCCTATGATCTAAGTTCCCATAAAACCTGGATCGGTGGGAGCTCTCAGGCAAGATCAGCATCTGTTGGGGCTTTTGAAAGCATCTTCTTCCATTGCTGAGCCTACTGAGATTTAAGTGTAAGCGTTTATGTTAATTTGCTCAATAAGTTAGTGTTGGTTGTTTTCTTACTTTCTGAGCTATTTTAATCTGTGTAATTATTTGGAGTTTCTCACTCTTGTAGAGTTTTGCTTTAGTAAAATCTGCATGATTTTATGAAATTTGGTCTGAGTTCCTGAATCTTTTAATTGTGACCATGCTTTTCGGAGCAAAGGTCATCCACCACATCATTTGCAAGCTTAATCCTACAAACAGATTTCTGCTTATATTTGGTTCACCCTCCATGTGGGCTGCCCAGGCTACTGCAAAGGGGGGCATGTGCAACACTTGCCCCGTCCCAGGCACAAGCAACCCATGCTACACCACTGTTAAAGTGGACTGTATCTCCACACATTTATACCCCACCTTTCAGTCCTAAGGAGCTCAAGGTGGCATACATGGTACTCCCTTCCTCATTTAATTCCCACAACAACCATGTGAGGTAAGTTAGGCTGAGAGGCCGTGACTGGCCCAAGGTCACCCATTGAGTTTCATGCCTGAGTGGGGATTCAAACCCTGCTCTCCCAGGTCCTAGTCCAACACTGTAACCACTACACCACATAGCCCTGATACCACTATGTGATGGTGACTGTTGTTAATGCAACAGATGCAGCAGCAGTAACCCACCCTATTACATCACTAAAATATTTCACATTAACTCACAGTTGATATGGCAGCATATTAAACAGAATACAATAAATATTTATTAGTGCAGCAACTTGTGAGATTTGTCTTTTTCTCATACTTATACAGCAACTGCTTTCTTAGAAAATCTCATTTGATGAAGGCTTTTGTAGGGATTTAGTCTCCTGGTCACTTTTGACCTACCTTCTTTGTTATTAGCCAACATTATTTGTTGACAATGTAATGATTCTTCTCAACAGGTTTTCTTAGCATTCTTCTGTATATTCCCAGCTTTTACAGCACCTTGTGATATGAATGCTAATCTTTAGAATCATGGTACCTTGTATGTATTTTAGTGCCACCTTAGAGGATGATACAGTGAGTATTAATTAAACCTCTGCCTGGGCGTCGCTGTAATCTTCAAAAGCAGCAGCTCTTACGCTTTCCATACTTGCATCTAGTGCGGGGGTGGGGAGTGAAACACAAAATGAATATAGTGAATGCAAAATCTGGAGGATGCCCAAATTACGTTTTGCTATATTATCTTAATTCTACCCCTCGCCACTGCACTTCCTTGCCTTTGTAAAAGCAGCACAATTAACTGAATTTCTTTTCTCTCTTCCACTTTTATTTACATAGGGCCAGTAGAAGCTGTGAGGATAATGTATGCAGGAAGCAAGCACTAAACTACTCTCCTCTTATAGACTAAACAAATTACTTAGTGGCTTAAAATCCATAACCACATTTTGCATCCTATTAGTGGCCACAGCAACTGAATGCAAGTGAAATACTTTAGATATTATAACTAAACAACTGATATTAATACCATGACTTTTACTGTCTTTTCTGTTTATTATTATTGCCAGTTTTGAGCACTTGACTTAAAAAGAAAAAATAACCAAGTTGCATAAAATAGTGGTTTGCATAAGAATAAAAATTCCTAAAAGGATTATCCAGCCAAGCTGATGCACACATTAGGCTGCAAGCAGGGGAGGAAAAGGAATTATACTACTGCATGTGGAACAACACAAACAGTAATGTGAGTGAAGGATATGGTGGCCAACTGGATTGGCCCCTTACATCCTGTGCACATTAACTTAGGTTAACATGTTTAACTCCGAAGTCACTGCAAATACTGTGACTTATAAATCAATTACATACATAGTTGGATTTTTTTTTTCTGGATCTGATTCTGGAATGTTTTATTTGTTTATTACCGTATATTTAAATTTATATCTTGTTTTTCTAGGCAAAATTCCCACTGAAGGAAACTTGTAATAGATTAAATAAAATGCAATAAGAAAACAATGCATAAACAACAATAAATACAGAGAAATAAGATACTGTAAAAAAAAACACAGGCAGGTGAAATTTAACTTTATAATACTTGCCATAAATAGCAGGCCACCTTTCAATACAGGGCCAACAGAACACACTCCTCAGAACATAATAAAAAAAGCAGTAATTAAAACTTACCAGAAAACTTTGACCAATTTATGCAGTTCCATCACTGAGCTGAACTCTGACTGCTTGAAAGCCATCTATGATGAGGACATGAGAGAAACCAGAATCATCCATACCCTGCCCCTCCCCCAAATTGTTCTTGAATGGTAGGAACTAGGCTTAGTTCAAGCAGAAGATTTTCTTAGCAGTTCATTTATTTTAACATGCTGCAAGCAGTCTGGATATAAAGTGCAGCTTTCAGGCTACAGTATGAAAAACAAAGCCAAAGTGAGAAGCCCCAGGGTAACATTAAGCACATGGCAAAATCCTAAATCTGACTGAAATGGCAAATATTTGCCAATGAGCTTTGTGGACACTTCTCCCATATACTATATTCTGTCAAATAGAAGTTCCCCATCATGCTGAGCTGATACCTGATATTTAACGCATTGGTTTAGAATCAAATGCTTTGTTGCAGTTTCATTTTGTCCCATGGATCTAATAATAATAATAATAATAATAATAATAATAATAATAATAATAATTTATTTATATCCCGCCCTCCCCAGCCAGAACCAGGCTCAGGCGGCTAACATCAAAACATCACATTAAGACATAAAATTCAGTAATCGACTGAAATACAGCTTAAAATCGGATTAAAATCAAAATAAGATCAGATGGCTACCCACAAATTATAACCTTCAGTACTCACCAGGCTCAGCTATTTGTATTAGCCGGTGAGAGGAGGTAGAGAGGCCACTTATCTGCAGGATATTGTAAGAGGAGAGGGGTCAGACTGAGCCCCGACCAAAGGCCTGGCGGAACAGCTCCTTCTTGCAGGCCCTGCGGAAAGATGTCAAATCCCGGCTCTGTTTGCATCTTTAGTAGAAGTCCATAACTGAATGGTAATGCATATAATTGTCATGTAAAATTTCCCAGGTTCGGTCTCTGATATTTCTTGCTCTCAACACCCGTGTAAGAGAAGCTGCCAGTTAACATTTACAGTGGTAGGATAGATGGAACAACGTTTCTCTCGGTATAAGGATCTTCTTATGTCTGTATGGTATAACATGAAAAAACCTCTAGTTGTAAGGATGAATTGATGCTTCTGCCCTATGAAGTGATGCACAACCTCTTGGTATAGGACAGCTTAAGCCTCCCAGGAGCACTTGCACACCTTCTCTTGCATAATTATAGAATTGTAGAGTTGGAAGTGACTGTGAGGATAATCCAGTCCAACTGCCTGCAATGTAGGAATATTTCACCTAAGGTGGGACTCGAACCCACAACCTCAAGATTAAAAGTCTCATGCTCTACCAACTGAGCTATCTATTAGTGCTGAAACAAGCACAGATGGCCTTATTTGTTCCCCCATGTGTCCAATTGCTATAATAAATATATATTCTCAGGAATGCATGCATGTGGCAATTGTGGGGCACTATACTGTTACTTTGGCCACCTCATGAGAAGAGAAGACTCCCTGGAAAAGACCCTGATGTTGAGAAAGATGGAGGGCACAAGGAGAAGGGGACGACAGAGGACAAGATGGTTGGATAGTGTTCTCGAAGCTACCAGCATGAGTTTGACCAAGCTGCAGAAGGCAGTGGAAGAAAGGAGTGCCTGGTATGCTCTGGTCCATGGGGTCACGAAGAGTCAGAAATGACTAAACTACTAAACAACAACAACGCCTTATGAATAGCGGTTGCTGGGAATCACAAATGGGGAGAGCTTTGTTGTACCTAACCAGATCCAGCAGCACTCTCCCTATTTGTGATTCTCACCGATGGGAAACTGAGGGCAGGATGCTGGACTAGATGAGTCTCTTGGCCTGATTCAGCTCAGAACTTCTTATATTCTTATGATTTATGAGCCAGTAGTCTCATGACCTTAATCCTGGGTGGTTTAGTTTTGACAACAGTGTCAAATATAATGGGTGGGCCTGTAGTTGGTGTACATAGGTGTTGCTGATTCATTTGATGCAAAGATAGTAAAAGAGAAGATCTTGGCCTGTGCATCTGCATCTAACCCAGTTTTTGGTAATTACTGTATAAGTATTTTCAAGTTCAGCTTTTAACTAATATTATCTGAAATGTAGTATACAGCCTGAAAAAAGGGAGTCCAGCCTCCTTACAAATGAAGTGATCCAAGCAAAGCTAAACTACAGACTGATAAAAAAATTGCATATTCTGTTTTTCTTGTACCCAATTGAACTCAAACAATCAGAGAATCAAAAATCCTCCGACTGCAATCATGCTTATTTTTACTCTATTGATGAGTTCCTTCATTTTTTAAAAGAATGCTTTTACTCTTATCCATATTACAGCCATTTGGCAGCTTTCTTGTTGAAATCAAGATGTAACAAACAATTGCACCGTTAACACAGTTATCATTGGAAAGGCTTGGTGCTGTATGAAATGAAATACTGTAATAAGCATGCCAGGAAATCGCATCTTATTATCCTCCCCCTCATCCTCCACTTTTTCATTTCTTAACCCTCTACAATGAGCAGGTCAAAAGTCGATGATAAGTGTAACAGATGATCAATTTTTATGAAAAGGTATTTTAAATTGCAAAGCTCTACTTTTACATTGAGAAACCAACATTGCAAACTGAATGTGCTTTGTTATAGACACCATCTTTTTGATAATACTGATGGAACAGTACAATTGCTCATACTGCTGTTGATGGACTTTTTGTACTACTAAAAAGCATTGACTGAGGAAAGCATTTCTATCTAGTTCAGGATCTTTAATTTGCTTAACTTGGCACAAATATGTTAAAATCAATGATACAAATATCTATTAATCTTTACTGGCTGCATTTTCTATTCACAACTTACGTTCCATTTGCATTGCACATGCTAATTATGGACAACTGTATGTGCCGATATACCATACAAATGCAATATCAATCATTCTATGAAAGACTTACGCCTTCCAACAACAAAAAACAGTTGCAAGTCCACACTTCCACTTGTCCCACCACTTCTCCCCTGGGAAACCTGTTTACCACTGAATTGGAGTAAACTTCAGTTTGGCTTTCTGTGTATTGACATTTGCAGTAATGGGCGCTTACCTGAAAATTCCCGGGAGGCAGCAGTTTGCAGGCGCGATGTGGCCTGGGGCCAATTTTTCTGTGAGGCCATTATGGGAATGCTTGTGCCTTCCCCTGCAACTGTGCAGACAAGCATCAAGGTGCCCATTTCAAATGGGCCAATCCAGTGAGAGCAGGGAGGCATTGCTGCGGTGGCAGACCTGGTGGCGGCAGTAGAAGAGTTTGGATTTGATATCCCGGTTTATCACTACCCGAAGGAGTCTCAAAGTGGCTAACATTCTCCTTTCCCTTCCTCCCCCACAACAAACACTCTGTGAGGTGAGTGGGGCTGAGAGACTTCAGAGAAGTGTGACTGGCCCAAGGTCACGCAGCAGCTGCATGTGTAGGAGCAGGGAATCGAACCCGGTTCACCAGATTACGAGTCTACCGCTCTTAACCACTACACCACACTGGCTCCCTTGTATTACATCACACTGGCAGTCTTGCATTAAGTCTGTGCCTAGCCTCTGCCTGCTCAGATCGTCCCTGGATTCCACACTCTCCCACACTGCTTTGGTTGGTCCCACCTAAGGGTGAGCAGGCCAGTGCTGGTTAAACTTTTTCAGCAGGGGGCCGGTCCACTGTCCCTCAGAGCTTGTGGGGGGCCGGACTATATTTTGAAAAAAATTAATGAACGAATTCCTATGTCCCACAAATAACCCAGAGATGCATTTTAAATAAAAGGACACATTCTACTCATGTAAAAACACTATAATTCCCAGACCGTCCACAGGCTGTATTGAGAAGGCGATTGGGCCGCATCCAGCCCCTGGGCCTTAGGTTGCCTACCCCTGGGTTAGACCTTGCCATGGTATGCTTGGCTGACATATTCAGGGTCAGAGAGGATTTCTTCCTGCAGACAAATGGGGCTAGCCTATTGGTTTTTGCCTGCCTCATAGCAATTGTTACAACTTATGGCAGATAAGGCATTGGAATTTTAACTAAATGAGCACCCTGTTAAAGGGGTCCAGGAGGGAAAATGATTATATGTATTTTAATCCACTGATGTGTTTGTTAAAGCCTCTCAGATCAGCTAACAAACTTCTACAACTAATTTGCATGGCTCTCCTGCTAAACATGTTAGTATCAATTTCTTTAACAAAGTAAATTTAAGTTCTAAAAGTACACAGGAAAGCTGAGACCCCTGTTCAATGCTTTATGGAAATGTTACATTTTTTAAGCAGCTTGGCTGCTTACTGGAACACTCTTGCACTGTATGCAGTGACCTGGCTGGAGGGAACAGAACAATCTTCTTTGAAGTTTTAAGTCCAAGATGTGCTGTCATCAGAATTAGAGACAAGGCTGTTAGTCTCTCCCTCCCAGCCTAGTGATTGTTCTTGGCAGTGGCTCTGAGATGGCACTGTTGCATTTGAATTTAATGAGGATTTCTGAATAAACAAATCTCGGTTTCACAAATAAGAATAAAATGTCAGAACTAACTCTGCCATATGCTATGGCAACCTTGTGTAAATCTCCTATGGAGGCTTTGCTGGCACCAAACTTACATAGCACCTCCCTCCCTACTCCCCTCCTGTTCTGAGGTACAAGATTGAGTTCCTGGGGGACAACTCATTTGTCTCTACATTCTGTTGATACAAGAAAATGATTACTAACCATTATAAACAGAGATCTTCTTTAAGGTTTATGCTAGACTAACAAGGATAATATGAGGAGGGTATTGCACAGCATATCTTATCAAAATATTTCATTATTAGCCTTGGTGGTGAAAGCTACCTGAATGACTTCTGAATGTCCAGAAATATAACGCATCCAGCAAGCTATACTTACCTTGTCATGGAACTGTGAATTGCAGGTTGGTGAGGAAGCAAAGCCATTGAGTTAAATCACGGGGTTTAAAGCATGAGGAGGAACCGTATTCAAGAGGGAGAGCATCTACGGAAAGTCCCAAGAATCTAAAGTTTTAGTGATACTGATAATAATAATAATAATAATAATAATAATAATAATAATTTATTATTTCTACCCCGCCCATCTGGCTGGGCTTCCCCGGCCACTCTGGGTGGCTTCCAAAAGAATATTAAAATACTATAATACATCAAACATTAAAAGCTTCCCAAAACAGGGCTGCCTTCAGATGTCTTCTAAAAGCCTGGTAGTTGTTGTTCTCTTTGACATCTGGTGGGAGGGTGTTCCACAGGGAAGGCGCCACTACCGAGAAGGCCCTCTGCCTGGCTCCCTGTAACTTGGCTTCTCGCAGTGAGGGAACCGCCAGAAGGCCCTCGGTGCTGGACCTCAGTGTCCGGGTAGAGCGATGGGGGTGGAGACGGCTCCTTCAGATATACTGGACCAAGGCCGTTTAGGGCTTTAAAGGTCAGCACCAACACTTTGAATTGTGCTCGGAAATGTACTGGGAGCCAATGTAGGTCTTTCAAGACTGGTGTTATGTGGTCTCTGCGGCCGCTCCCAGTCACCAGTCTAGCTGACGCGTTCTGGATTAGTTGTAGTTTCCGGGTCACCTTCAAAGGTAGCCCCACGTAGAGCGCATTGCAGTAATCCAAGCGGGAGATAACCAGAGCATGCACCACTCTTGCGAGGCAGTCCGCAGGCAGATAGGGTCTCAGCCTGCGTACCAGATGGAGCTGGTAAACAGCTGCCCTGGACACAGATTTGACCTGTGCCTCCATGGACAGCTGTGAGTCCAAAATGACTCCCAGGCTGCGCACCTGGTCCTTCAGGGGCACAGTTACCCCATTCAGGACCAGGAAGTCCCCCACACCTGCCCGCCTCCTGTCCCCCAAAAACAGTACTTCTGTCTTGTCAGGATTCAACCTCAATCTGTTAGCCACCATCCAACCTCCAACCGCCTCCAGGCACTCACACAGGACCTTCACTGCCTTCACTGGTTCTGATTTGAAAGAGAGGTAGAGCTGGGTATCATCCGCATACTGATGAACACCCAGCCCAAATCCCTGATGATCTCTCCCAGCGGCTTCATGTAGATGTTGAAAAGCATGGGGGAGAGGACAGAACCCTGAGGCACCCCACAAGTGAGGGCCCAGGGGTCTGAACACTCATCCCCCACCACCACTTTCTGAACACGGCCCAGGAGGAAGGAGCGGAACCACTGTATAACAGTGCCCCCAGCTCCCAGACACTCAAGACTTTCAAGAAGGATGTTATGGTCGATGGTATCAAACGCCGCTGAGAGATCCAGCAGAACTAGGAAACAGCTCTCACCTTTGTCCCTAGCCCGCCGGAGATCATCAACCAGTGCGACCAAGGC